GGATGCAGTGACATGGTGACATAGTTCCCAACCCTACAAAATCTAATCTAATGTTATTCTTCCGGTAATTATGTTTAAATCTGAATCGAAGCTGATATTCTGGTATAACAATCCTTCCATTTTGAAAAGGCATCAATTTCCTTAAAATTATTTTTACAAATAATTTATGTTGTGGTATACGTATCCACCTGACAGCAAAGACATAAATCTTTTTATTTTTAAAATAATTTCGATTTATTTAAATCTGAAAGTCTATTTAAAAATATTTACTTTTCTTTAAAGTTTTAAATCTTTATTTAAAAAAGAGTAGTGTGAAGAGAGATTTTTTAAAATGAAAACCTCTATCGTCTTTACTTGCTTTTGTTATTAAATTTAAAGAGGTAAATAACACTAATACCCACTCGTCCCTATGGTATTAAAAGGTTTCGAGTGAGTGCAAAACACATTTTTCAATTTGCACATCGTCATTTAATCTTCCTTCTGTTATCTAGTTGAGCTGTCATTGCCTTCTTTGTCGACTTAAGGGTTTACACAGTTTTTATGAAGTTCACGTTTCTATTATTATCGCTATTATTATTCAATTATGTATATTTTGGTATCCTCTGCATAAAAGTAAATCACATAAATTATTACGTACAGTTTTTGTGGGATTTTATTTCATATACGCGATTATGGTCCGGTTTTGTTCTGGGCTTAGGTTGGCTTTAGTGTGCCTTCTTTACGCAATTTGGCGTATGTAATGTGATTCCTGTCATTTACACAGAACTGTATTGTGTGCAGCCAATTTATATCGAATTTCATAGTCAGCGCTAGTATGAGATGAGAAAAGTTATAAATAATTCTTATCTTTCTGCATTAATTTCGATTAATATGTTTGGACATACAAATTAAATATTATTATTAAGCATTTAATGTTCTTAAAGTGGTGCTCTTTGTGTACGCACAATAGAATATCATGAACGTATTTTTAAATTTTTTGTTGAGATTTTTGCTATACATTAAGCTGACCTGCCATTTCAACATTTATACAAGGATATCAAAGTATCTAAGAATAGCATAGTAAGATTTTCATATAGTTCTATGTTCAAATTGATTTGTTTACATTTATTTTTATTCTTACGTATATGTATTCATGTTCGTACCATAATGCAATATAAGTAGTTGCCTTCGGTTCACATAAAACACAGATTATTGCCGAATTTACTCTGATTATATATCCTGACACAAATCCTCAGTTAGTCTTGTTAATGGCAGTAAAATGTGGCCTACATGTGCGGTAAATTTGTGTGAACTAAGCTGCTTTATGTGCTTTTATTGTACTCGTATTGTCTGAAAATACTTGTGTATGCATATAGTACATGCAGGCAGGCAAGATACATTCATTTCAGATACACTAAGCTCAATAAATACTTGTACTCATATATATATAATATATATTTTTTATTCATCCAATTTTTCATTTTTTTGTATATATCAAATTCCTTTTATTTTATTTTAAGGAACTTGAAAAATAATTTTGAGGTTTTTTATGCTGTGTAGTTCCATTTTTAACGTTTGGTAACAAGTTCTTATGTAGTCATAACTACCTTAAAATGATTCTTCAGCTGCATAGATTGTGATGCGATTAAAGTAACTGAATACGATATGCTTAGTCAATATTAAAATAATAAAATTGCTTAGAAAAATTTATTATCTTTATTTTTTGAATTGATTTAAGTTTCTGAAACAAATATTTGTTTTCAGTGTTTTTGGGCTTTAATGACGTATATAATGTAGTTCTACATTTTACCAAAAAATATGATTTCAACATAAATATTATTTAATAATATTGTTTCATGAAAGAAGTCTCTATTTAGGATAGTAAAGAAATTTTGTATCTTATGTTCTAATAAATCAAAACTGCAAGAGAGTCGCCATAAAATATTAGAAAGTGCCACTGTTTTGACTAAACAAATATAAAAAAGTCTCAAGCATTGCGAATCTCGATTCCTATGTGGACCATTTAGCCAATGTTATACAGTACAGGCTCACAAAATAGAACCATTTGGTTTTTCTGCTAGTTCGAATTTGCGAAAAGTTCTAATTTCTCGATTTTTTTTATTTCTATAAAAAATGATCATAAAATTAAAATTCTACACAAAAACTTTATTTTACAGATCAAATCAATCCTTATTAGGCATTAGTCAGTAATGTTTGTTTATTTTTTATGTTTATGTTTACTATATGTATGAATATAGTTCTGTCTACTGAGGCCTTCAGTTATACGTCAGAACACTCAGAAATATAATTTGATTGTTCTAACCAGATTGAAACTAAATCTCAGATCAAAATATTCTTGTGCGACTCATTATATTGCTTCAACCATACTACATGTTGGATTTATCATATCTTCTTTACCACACCAGCTAAAATTTTTCTAACAAAATGATCAGGACAATTTAACTAGATATGTTTAGAGCATATTTTTCTCAGTGAATGAATTTATACAATTTTTCCTGCTGCAATTACATATGTGGTTATTGATATAACCCACGGAGAACT